CTGTATGTGTGAATTAATAAGTGTTCAAGTATGTAATAGGGTAGTTATTTAAAAAAAAAATACTATTCATGTAAAGATAACGTCTCAAAACGACTTCCAGCTTGTTTTTAATTCTGCTAATGTTAATCAACAGCTGTTTAGTAAGTGTTTAAAAAATGTTGTCTATTTCAATAATTGTGATACTGTTTAAAGTAACACAGACTGCTGCTGTACATAAGTATTGACAAGAATGCAACAATAAGCTAAAACCTAACCTAATAAATCAATCGATAAATAATTTTACAACTGTTTACAACAAGCTGACTTTTACACCGTAGGGACTAAAAAGGCAAGGAAAAATCGCTACTTAAACTTCCACGGCTACTTCAGACAGACCCGCAACGGATGTATTATAAACAGCTGCTTTTGCCGCAGTATGACGAAAATACAGTAGGTGATAAGGGTGTAGTTATAAATAATGCAATTATTAGTAACTAGTGAACCTGTGCGGCTCAATGCCCCGCAAAATTACATACGAATTTAGAAAACAAATCCATCGTGTTATATATTGGCTCAACGTCAAAAATTAAATACAGTAATAATAAATCCTTAGAAGAGAAGCAGTCTAGCCATTTTATAGCTGTATGTGTGAATTAATAAGTGTTCAAGTATGTAATAGGGTAGTTATTTAAAAAAAATTTTTAAACACATTTAACAAAGCTTTTTGTCACATCAAACCAATAGGCCTATGTAGCATATTTTGAGGGTCATAAAATGCTGCTTGAAGAAAACACTTTGAAAAATAAACACTAAAAAAAATATTTTAACCACAAACGCACTTCCATGAATACTACGATTTTAGTCTTGAAGTTACCTTCAGGAAGATTACCCTCGTCAAAATTTCCCATAATGAATATGTGTAACCTATTAAAAGATGTAGCCTAACTTAAAACACAAAATAATATATTGTTGCTCATGACTGAAATTGGTCTGGGTAAGAACAGTGCTGCTCTTTAATTAAAGTGCTTAAGGCTTGGTGCTTTCATAACTGCAAACTCAAAATACACCCACAAGTAAAAAAGAATCAAGTTATTGGTTGTGTAACCTATTTTTGTGTAACAACATTATTCACATGAAGTAGATGATTTGTTTGATTTGTCGATCAGCTGTTCTGTTTCAAATGGATTAATAATGTCAAAGATTTGTGATTTTAAATACATAAATTATTATAGTAAAGTTTTCTAAATCGTGGTAACTTAATCTCAACTAAATTTTACTACTCCCAGAATTAAAATAAAGTAGTAAGATCCATTATGAGTAAACTTTAAGGTATACAATCCTTGATTGAAATGTAGTATACATTAACAGTCATAATACACAGCAATTATTATGTAGTAGACTTTGACTATGTTCAAGTAACAAACATATGTTTCTGTAAATAAAAATTATCTCCTATGTTATCCTTATGGAGAAATACGAAACTTTAAAGGGCGCCAGGGCCTCACTCTCTTATTATTTCCCTAAAAAGAAAGTTTCCTGCAAAACTTCACGTTACGCTCTTTCCAATGACCCCAAAAACATGTCAATCGGTTCAGTAGTTTCGGAGGAGTAATTGTCACAAAAAACCTGCTTGCGTATTAAATAAGTACGAGAGGTCGTCCAGTGGTCGAAACTCGACCAAAAATATGTAATGTACTCACTTATCTATTTTCACCCCACACTGTAAATAAAACATGTGATTGGAGTTTCTTTCATTTGTTTTGATTTTCTGTTTATATTTCGTTGTTATTTCGTAACCAGCATAGCAACGCATAAGATCCATGTTAATTTTTTCAAATTTTTAAACTCATTTTTTGTGCTTATCTTTGAGCCTATTTAAATTTATAAAGGGATTCTGCACACCTACAGGAAAATAGCTTTCCAACGGTATGCGTAGATTTTCCCTACGATGCACACGAGCTGAGAAAAAAGGTTTTAAAGAAACATGCTTGCCTATTAATATATAGACGAGAGGTCGTCCAGTGGTCGAAACTCGACCAAAAATATGTAATGTACTCACTTATCTATTTTCACCCCACACTGTAAATAAAACATGTGATTGGAGTTTCCTCCATTTGTTTTGATTTTCTGTTTATATTTCGTTGTTATTTCGTAACCAGCATAGCAACGCATAAGATCCATGTTAATTTTTTCAAATTTGTAAACTCATTTTTTGTGCTTATCTTTGAGCCTATTTAAATTTATAAAGGGATTCTGCACACCTACAGGAAAATAGCTTTCCAACGGTATGCGTAGATTTTCCCTACGATTCACACGAGCTGAGAAAAAAGGTTTTAAAGAAACATGCTTGCCTATTAATATATAGATAGATAGATAATAAGTAACTCAGGTGTATTCTACAAATAGTTTATTTTTAATTGTCAAATAATAATCCTATTCAACTTAGAGAGAGATACTGTCTAATCAATTAAAAATAATGTAATTGGAAGAAGTAAAGACATATTTTTTATGCCAGAACTATTTTTAGAACCAACATTTTCTTTTGTTATAAAACAAACCACAAATTTCATATACAATCACGTAAATTCAAGACTTTAATCCCAACTATCCCGTAGTTATTGTATATTGAATAAAAGAAGGTGTAGAAGACAGCATTTGCATGATTCTTCTACAGAATGGGGTCAAGTGATACTTATACAATATAGGCTGAATAAACTCTTGAAAGGTCCAGAGGATGCTTTTTGTTGTTCCTCACTTTCGTCTCATATATTTTTTAATCGTAAATAACCCCTACCGCAACAAACCTACAGACTAAGCAAATTCCCGTTTGCCTCATTATATTTTTTCGCCAAAATATCTCCTTAAAAATGTCAGATTGATAAAATTTCAATAAAATTTGTTTAATATGAGTACATTGGTTTGCTGCTACAGGAAAGGTATATTCAAAATAAATAAAGTTTCTAAATTCGATCCAAATATGTTCATAAACAAGCTAACTAAAAACGTTTATTTTATATAACAATAGCTATAAAGAATATTAAATTTACATTTTTTTAGGGGTTTTCCTTAAAAGGTCATAGCATTGCTTCAATGCCTTCAATATACTAAATTGCTTGTTTTAAGGTCTACAAATTGTTACCAAATTATTAAAAGAGAAATTGCAAAATTTTATGTTTTTAGGGTCAAAAAAGGGGAAAACCAATTTTTACCCCTTAAACTCCTGTTTCCATAGTCGACTATAATAAGTAGGCTACCTATAGGTTTGCTGCTACAGGGAGGATTATAAAATGTGATATTTTAAATTAATGTTGACCCGTGGTGGCCAACAGTGTAATTTGCTCAGCATTTGTTGATAGCTAGGGTCAGTAATAAAGATTACTTTTGAAACTTTGGCTTGCCTACTATACGCTCCCGGTCAAATTAAATTGTAATTGTATTAAAAGATATAGGGGTTATGGGAAAAAAGGTTTTTATAACTGGAATGAGACAAAGTTATTAAAAATCGTTCTAGAGGTTTTACAGGATTGAGTTACAGGATTGAGTTACAAATCTATACTAGAGGTCGTCCAGTGGTCGAAAACTCGACCAAAAATATGTAATGTACTCTATTTTCACCCTACACTGTAAATAAAACATGTGATTGGAATTTATTCCATTTGGTTTGATTTTCTGTTTATATTTCGTTGTTATTTCTTCACCAGCAAGGCAAACCATAAGCTCAAGTTAATTTTTTATTATTTTAAATTCATTTTTTGTGCTTATATTTTAGTTTATAAAGGGATTCTGCACATCTACAGGAAAATATCTTTCCAACAATATGCGTAGATTTTCCCTGCAATATACGCGAGCAGGGGCTTGCCTGTTAATATATTAATATACAGGGTGGCTGAAAAGTAGTTTGCACCCCCCTTAACTTTTCAACCATTTGAGATATTTGAAATCAGTTTGCGGCAACCTTCTTAGAAATAAGGGGCTACAGTAATTATGGTAAATTTTGATAATTTTGCCCTTAGGGGTAGGCGGGGGTAGGGGGTATTTAAAAATTTTCAAATGGCAAGTATAGTCGAGTTTGGTATCATTTTACAGGTCGTGACGAAACAAAACAATTGACATAAAGAAAACGAAAATCGGCCCACTAATAACAAAATGGCGCCCTAAAACGTATCAAATCCAAATAACCGTGAGGGTGGCTGAAAATAGTGACTATACTTGTCATTTGAAAATTTTGAGCTACCCCCGCTAACCCTAAGGGCAAAATTATCAAAATTTACCATAATTGTAGCCCCTCATATCTAAAAAGGTTGCTGCAAACCGATTTTGAATATCTCAAAGTTAAGGGGAGTTCAAGTTACTTTTCAGCCACCCCGTATAGATATGAATAGGCAAGCATGTTTCTTTAAAACTTTTTTTCTCAGCTCATGTTTTAAAGAAACAGGTTTGGCTATTAATATATTAATAGGCAAGCCCCTGCTGTTGTACATCTTAGGGAAATCTTTGCATATTTTTTGAAAGATATTTTCCTGTAGATGCGCAGAATCCCTTTACAAATTAAAGTAGGCTCGAAATAAGCGCAAAAAAATAATTTAAAAAATTTACATGGGCCTTATGGGTTGCTATGCTAGGGACGAAATAACAACGAAATATAAACAGAAAATCAAAACCATTGGAAGAAATTCCAATCACATGTTTTATTTACAGTGTGGGGTTAAAATACATAAGTCTGAAAACAATAAAATAAAATATAAATAATTGTAATATAAAATTTTTGGACGAGCTTTCGACCACTGGACGACCTCTAATAAAAATTTTTACACACTACAATTTATCTATGCAAATTGAGATACACATGTCCGACATAGAACACTAAAGAAATGGTATGAATAATTATTGAATCAGGGTTTTGACTCTTGAACTCAAAGTATCCTAGTGGGCATGAAATTATCCTACTGCTGGTAACATAAATCATTCTACATTTAACTTTTGATTTTTGAGTCTTCAACCATCATGTATTTCTGTTTCAGGTCTAAGTCATGCTTGGAAGTACTCTCCTACTGACAAGCCTGAAGGTATGAAACAACAAAGTTAAGTTGTCAAGTTGATGTGACGTAATGTGTTGGCCCTTGACAGTGTGAAGGGTGTGTTATTTATTTACTCAGCCCTGTGGCTGGTTTGTATTCACATAGCTTTGCATCTTACTAACAACATTCCATGGTATTTTAAAAACTGCATTGTTGCACCAAACCTAGATACCAAGCAAGTTTCCATTTGCTTTGTTAAACCAGCAAGCAAATTCCTAAAAAAATAATTGTTACTACTTATAGGTCACATGCCAAACATATGAGTAAAAGGAATATATGGTGAATAAGGTTTGATGCTGTAGAATCACACACATTTGTGTTTTGTAAAAACCTATCATGAACTAAATAAATACCGTATTTTAAATTTTGTTAGGATTATAGTACAGTATATAGTAATGTAATATACAACAATAATTAGTTTGCTCTTCATAAGGATAACATGGAAGGAAACATGTTGTGTATGTTTAGCATTTTGGATATAAGCAATTTGATAATTTTTTTATTTAAAAAATTAAAATCATTCCTAAATAGGTAATAATTTGCCACTTGCAAAACAAAGGGAAGTTGGTACATAGGCTCATCATATGTACTTATGCCCCTTCGTCTTGCATGTGTCAAATTGTTACATTTACAAGATAATTGTATTTTTCAAAGCCTTGAACTTGTATGGGGACAAACAAGTACAGTACATGTTGTATATAAACACCAACATGTTTAAGGCAAAAAGGCAAATGTTTCGGTTCAGTTTTTGTTACTATTTATTAAGTATATCTGATTGTTTACTTTGTCTTACCAATTAATAATAACACTGTGTACAGGGTGGCCAGGATTATGTATTGATGGCACCAGACAGTCGCCTATAGACTTAGTCGCAGAAACAGCTGGGCGCTTTGTGGTTGAGCCTCTAGAGTTTTTCAACTTCAAAAGCCTTAATGGGACCCTAGAAAACAACGGTCATTCCAGTAAGTGTTTGTAAGATCTTGAGCAATGGGTGCAATTTATAATTTTAGGTTTTTCTCAGAGATGATCATAATCAAAACTATCGGAGGAACTTTTCAATATATTACCTTGGACACTAAAAATAGGGTAATGTTTTGCTACCCCATTAGGTGACATAAGGTTTGTATAAAAAAATAAAGGTTTATAGTTCAAGTGATATTGTCAAATAATGATCCTGTTACATTAATGTGACAACTTAATTTGGTACGGCTAACTGAACAGGACCATTTTACAGTGGTAGATTTTAGATACCATGTTTTGTGTATTTTACTATGTATTACATGATAAAAACTTAACTTTGCTTCAACGATCCAGAGCTACTCATCAAGAAACACAGAAAATAATGTAAAGGAAAAAAAAGAAATATTAATTCATTGATTTGATATTTATATATACTTATATTATTATAAATATATTAGCCTATCTAATATATAAAATTCTCGTGTCACAGTGTTTGTCTGCAAACTCCTCCGGAACGACTTCACCGATCGTTATGAAATTTGGTGTGTAAATTCTGTAGGTATGCGAATCGGACGTAAACTATTTCCCGTTTCGAAATTCTTAAAAGGGCTCCGCCCCAGTGGCTCTGGAGTTTCCCATGTTAACCTTATGAGAAATGGAATTAATGAATCTTAACAGCTGTTTCAATTAAACAAGTTGGTTCTGTTCTATGATGTTCATATAACCTGAAGGCAAGTGAGCGCAGCGAACGAGCTCCAACCTAAAGGTGAGTGAGCGTAGCGAACGAGCTCCAACCCAAAGGTGAGTGAGCGTAGCGAACGAACTTCAACCTGGAGGCGAGTTAGCGTAGCGAACAAGCTAACCTGAAGGCAAGTGAGCGCAGCGAACGAGCCCCAACCTAAAGGTGAGTGAGCGTAGCGAACGAGCTCCAACCCAAAGGTGAGTGAGCGTAGCGAACGAACTTCAACCAGGACGTGATTGAGCGATGCGAACGAGATCATCTTGAAAATTAAACGTAACGGTACTTTCTTTCCATCGGTCTGTCTTAGGGGAAACCTATAACTTAGGCGATACGAAGTTCGCCGGGTCAGCTAGTATATATATATATATTTATTTATATATCTCTGCAAATTTATATATTAAGGCAAGCATGTTTCTTTATAACCTTTTTTCTCAGCTCGTGTGTATCAAAGGAGAAATCTACACATACTGTTGGAAATATATTTTCATGTAGATGTGCAGAATCCCTTTGTAATTGAAATAGGCTAAAAAATCAGCACATAAAATGATTTTAAAATTTTAAAAACTTAACATGGACCTTATGGGTTGCTATGCTGGTGTCGAAATAACAACGCAATATAAACAGAAAATCAAAACAAATCGAATAAATTTCAATCACATGTTTTATTTACAGTGTGGGGTGGAAAACGGAGAATTCTGTACATATCATATTTTTGGTCGAGTTTTCGACCATCCCCTATACAGAATATAATTCAATATTCCATAAAGGTGTGAAACCACAAAAAGTTGCCCCCTGGTGGGATTTAAATAAATTTAATTTAATTTATGCAGAACCTATGAGGACATTATCACACAGAGCCTGCACAGTGAAAGATTTGATGTTAGGTGTGTAGGCCAGTATAATTAAGTTACCTCAGAAGTCCGTAAGTGGGATCGGAGAGATCTGTCAACTGTCCTTCTCCAATCACCTTGTTGAACTTATTTCTAATATGCTAATCTTCTTAAAATTTAGTAGTGATGTGACACTCTGAATTTGAGAAATTATAACTACCTGATTATTGAATCTTAGATTGATGATAAATTGTTCAATATTGCCCGATTTCACTGAGATATTTATATTACCTTTTGTTGATATTTGGATAATTAAATAAAATGCAATAAATCAAGTTGAATATATGATAGTATGTTCGGTTAAGCCGTTACTCTTAAAAATGTGTCACTCTTGAAAAAAAATAATCCTAGGATCAAACTGTAGGAGAATAAAAGATGTTATTTGAAAAAAGAATGTGTTTTAAGCTATTAATTAAATTTACAATTCACACAATCAGCAGGGATGATACAAAACTTAATCGAATATAGTCAGAGAAATACCTAATTATTTCCAAGTGGAGGATATGATTGTGATATAATTTGATTCAATCCTATATACCCCACTAATATGCTCTGTCCCGGGAAAAAAAGAAAAACTAATTTATTAATTTATTATTGAGATCAGCAGACTCCCCAAGTATATTTTATACAGCCGGCCGGTTGTATGATATTGCAATAGGGACTTGTTTGCCAGTGGACTATACTGCAGTACCACTGCGATGTTCAATACAAAAAGGGGCCGATCGACTACTGAGTCAGATCTTTTTGGTAGACTGTTTATTTGAAATTAACAATTTGACTCTAATGGTTCCTCCTAGCCCTCAATCGTGGACAATGCAACGTTTGTCTCTGAATGTCTCCTCTAAAAACACAATCAACCACTCGCACTGGAACTGATTTTTTGATTGACCAATAACTCAAGATATTAAATGTAATACAATAATTTCAGCTGTAATTACAAAAATTGACCTTTAACATAGAAATAAATAAACGGTATCAGCAATCTGACATATACTTTCTCCCATTAGCTTGTCGTCAACCTTTCTCATGGGTAAGCGATGAGAGTAACTATGATATTTAATAGGTAAAATCACAAAAGTTTCATTAACTTTTGAACAGTAATTTTAACAGGAATGAAGGGATTCAAAATTTTGTTTAGAATTATAATGACCATAACAGAAGAATTTTAATCAGAATCGGTTTTTTTCTATCCATTTTTCCGTGAATAAATTGGTGTTTTGTGGGAAAATAACATAAGTTTCAATAGCTTTTTTGAACCATAATTTTTACAGCAATATGGGGGGTTGCACTATGTTGTTTGGAATTATAAGGATTATCACATAGCCTACTAATTTCAATCCAAACCGTTTTTTTAGATTGATTTTTACACTGGAACTGATTTTTTGATTGACTCGAGATATAAAATGTAATACCGGTACAGTAATTTCAGCTGTGATTACAAAAATTGACCTTTAACATAGAAATTAAAAAAATATCTTTTAACACGGATAAATATTGATTTTAATTTAATTGGCTTTATAAATTCAATTTAATAGATATTTAAACTTCTAATAATTTCTACAAGAAACTTGACTTTACAATATGACGGATTTAATAAGTAGATAATATACATATTTCTGGGTTTGAGAACTTACCTAGCACAGGTCAATCACATAACATTCATACACGGACGATTTAAATAAAACTTTCCTTGGAGGATTTTTGTCAAAACCGGCCGAGTTTCCAACAACGGTTCTTTACGATTGTCCGGTTAATCAAGATAATTAATTTTTTTGGAGCCGGATTTGTTTAAAAAATAATTTTTTATTTCTGCGTTTCACACTAGATAATTTTGACAATAGCTGTCTGATTGAGCACGTACAATTTATTTTGAATGCTATATACCGAACTACAAATGAGTTTTTGTTTTTGATGAATTACTGACCTCGTCAACACGACTCTACGTCCGTCCTCCAAAGAGATCGTTGCACGCTTCTCCTTTCCACATTCAAACGTTTATCTATATATCCCTCCGCGATCGTTGGACAATGTTGTCCACCGTATTGGCGCGGATTTTTAATGAGTGAATTCAAAATCGGCACAATAATTACTAAAGGACTGGTTTGAAGATAAAATAAAAGATAATATTTAAAACCTTACTGGCAAAATCACAAGTCTTCTGAGTTGAGACTAATTGAAATTCTGAAAGAAATATCCACTGAAGAAATAACAGTCAGAAGAAAAGAAATACCTTCATACAAAGAATGAGGTAAACAGCATATAGTTGTCAATGGAAATATCATAATAAGCAGGTGGCGTTTGTTATAAGCCAAAGGTGACAATGCTGGGAACGAGCCAGAACGGTCTGTTCAACCAGAGGTTATTTCTGTGACAGAGTAGTTATATTTACATCAGGCCGAGGCAAATTGCTTCTTGACATAGGCCTGTGAATTCAAAAATTAACAATATTGCCAAATTAAGTTATTCTGATTTATTTCATGCTATTGGATCACTTCTGACTAAAATACTAAACGTTTCAAATAGTAACTCACCAAATAACTCCCTCAAGAAATACATGGGGAGCAAATTTAGTTTACCTATAAGCCAAGTGCAGCTGTAGATAAATATATGCCAATGCTTGATGTGAAATCTGTGCGTGCATACCTTCAATTTGAGACCTCAATCATAAAAATCTGTCAGGTAGAAGAGCCAAACAAACTGGAAAAAAATCCAAATTTAACTCCCTTTAGAAATAGGATACAAAATTAATTTATAAGCCAAGTGGGACTGTATATAAATATATGTCGATGCTTGATGTGAAATCTGTAAGTGCATATTTTCAATTTGAGACCTCGATAATGAAAATCTGTCTGGTAGAAGAGCCAAACGATCTCGGAAATGAAAAACAAAATTTAACTCTCATTAGAAATACATGGGGAGCAAATATCTTTTACAAGTCGAGTGGAACTGTAGATAAATATATGCTGATGCTTAATGTGAAATCTGTAAGTGCATACCTTCAATTTGAGACCTCAATAATGAAAATCGGTGGATGGGGTAATAGGCCCAAACAAACTCGGAAAAGAAACCCCAAATTTAACTCCCATAAGAAATACATAGGGAGCAAATTTCGTTTACTTATAAGCCGAGTAGGACTGTAGATAAATATATGCAGATGCTTGATGTGAAATCTGTGTGTACATACCTTCAATTTGAGACATCAATCATGAAAATTGGTCGGGTAGACGAACCAAAAAGAACTCTGCAAAGAAAAACAAATTATTTAAAATATAAGATTGCCAAAGTAGTGCTCACCTAACCGAACAATTAAAAGTTTGTTGGTTTAATCCTTCAGTTTGGAACTGAAACCATGTCCATAACTATTGATATTTTAATAATAATTTTATATATAGCCTAGGAAATAGCCTAGGAACAGTTGATCTTGGTCACAGCTCAAGCTTCTCACATCCAAGCCACATCTTTATTGAAATGTAAACAGTTTGCATGTTTTTTTAACTAATTAGAACCATGTTAGAACCCGGCAAAGAAATGTTACCCATAGGACACGACGAGAGAAAAGTTTTACATTTTATTTTCATTTAAACATTCCAAGGACCTGACGACAAAGAAATATTGCCTACTATTTGAATTATGGTTGGCGTAAATATTACAATGGAATGGTAAAAATAAAACTGAACCAACACTGTGCTGCATTTCTTGATCAATCATTTAAACAAAGAGCCAATTTGCAAACTATGGAAACATGGGAAAGTCATAGAACACCACCAAGTAGAAGAAATAGAAATAATGTGTTTTTTAGAATTAATAATCATTATTATGGACAACCTAATGTGGCTATGAGTGGGAAACATTTGTAGAAGACACTTAAAAACATGATCATCAGCTTTTGAAAAGTGATAAGATATTTACAAGAAATGTTGATTATATGGAACTGTTATGTACATCGTGAGTATTTCCATTATCTTTGAGGCGACTCTTTTAAAGTAATCAGAAATTATGACTGTTATTCGTTTTAAAATAACGCCTGTAACACTTACCAATTGCTCGAATTCGAGCAACAGGTACACCAGTATTTCGTTAAACGAGGTTTAAAATGACTGAAATAATAAGAAACAAATTGTAAACAAAACATTAGTTCTACAGTGCACCGGACAGAACAATAAAATTGGCTTCAGCTGTTTCATAAGGATGAGAAATCTACCAAGGGATTAACTTTTATCTATGGTTTCATTCTGAACCACAATAGCTTAATTTCACTCTGTTTACATCTTCAGCCACTTAGTTTCGTTCTGTGACTAGTCTGCAGTTTTGTGAGAGCCAATTCAGTATGATTTATGACAGTTGCTCTTCAATTTGCTCATCTCCGTTCAAATGCTTCTGTTGATAGTTGCCATTCATTTTGATGAGGACCATTGTGACTCTGGGGTGACTGGAGGAATGTTGCGAGGACTTTACGTCCTACATGAAATGCACTTCCATTGGGACTCGGAACACACTGTAAATGGAGACAGGTCAGTATAGATACAATATAAAGTAACAATGTAAAGAATTTCATTACTTGCCTCGAAAGTGGCTGTTTTCAGGCAAAAAGCAAGCGCAGAATTGTAATTATTGGTTTTAGAATGGACTTTTGGATACTGTAAAGTCTGGATTAACCAATTGTCTATCTTAAGGATTTTGAAAAAAATTACAAAAAAGATAAAGAATTTTAATGAATTTGATGATTTTTTACAGGTTAAGAATGTTTTTTTTTTTTACTTTCCAGTTTATTTGGCTTTTTTGGTTGTTCAATTTTTAACGCTGGTGGCTTATGCCGGATGATCAAAACTCTCCTGTACCATTTGCAAAAGATAATTATTTACATTCTGTTTAAAACAATTAAACAGGTCTAAATAAAATAAAAGTTTTAATAAATGGGTTCAGCAATTTGACACATACTTACTCCCTTTAGCTTGTCAACAACCTTTATCTTGAGTAAGCAGTGGGAGTAACAATGATAATTTGTAGGAAAATCAAAAAGGTTACAATAACTTTTGAAAATTGATTTTTGCAGCAATGGGAGTTGTACAATTTTGTTCAGAATTCAAAGGACTAAAACATACAATATTTTTATCAAGATAGTTCAGGCCATTTTGGAGTGAAATCAATTTTTAAAATTATTTTATAGGGTCTTATGGGAAAATCTTAATTGAAAATCAAAATTTCAAAAAATAAAAATAAACCCTCAATATACCATGGATCTCATAGCCACATTAGGTTGTCCATAATAATGATTATTAATTCTAAAAAACACATTATTTATATTTCTTCTACTTGGTGGTGTTCTATGACTTTCCCATGTTTCCATACCTAGACAAAAAATTTCATAAAAATTGGACTACAGGTGTGGTCTGTAGCTCTGTACACATCCACACATACATACAGACAGAGACACGGACAGACATCACTTTGAAAACCACTTTTTTGGGTTCAGGGGAACCCAAAACGGATATTTACACTCAAAACTCAAAATTTTTGATTGTATAGGCTAGAGAAAGTAAAAATCAAATTTTGAATCGGTTAAGTCAGGTGTACCGACTTTGAACAAAAGGGGAAATTGTGCGAAAGGATAATCATTAAGCATCTCAAACACCGTTTCTATTACAGTTACTATCTATTATTATCTACAGAACATAGACTTTCTGTAAATCTATATGATGTTAATGACCAAATGTGTACATACTGTGTTTTTGTATGTGAAAACTATTAAAAATTTGAATATACGAAATTAGGGATTTTTGGAACTCCACTTATCCTCTTACCCATTTGACCAACTCTTCTAATTAAGTTGCTATTTTAGTCTTGAACATTTTCAATTTCAATTTTTAAACATAGATATTCTTAAAGTACGTTTTAAAGTTATTAAAGTTTTTAAGTTAGCCGTTTCAGTTCAGTTCTTAGTAGTGATGTAAAATACCCGGGTATTTAAAACTCAGGGTAAATACCCTGGGTATTTACCCGGGTAAATACCCAAAATCCATAAATACCCGGGTATTTTGGGTATTTATGAAATTCATTATTATATTTACCCCTAATGTTATTGTTATCATTACATGATAAATTAGGATGGTCTGTAACACCTTTTACAGTAACTTGAAGCTTTGCTAGTACCTTTTATTTAATGATTTAGCACTTAAAAAAAAATAATAGGCCTACATAAAGTTTCTAAATAAGCATGGGGTTTCGTGTCTTAAATCGAGTAACATCAGTTAAAATTTACTTACTTTATAGTAAGTACAAAAAAATAGTACCTATATTAAAAAAGGCTGTGGCTATTTTAATTTTTATCATTTTATAAATTTATAGCCAATTAAATAAAAAAATATTTTAATTTATAAATATCCAGGAATTGTTGGGTATTTATGAAGCAATAAAAACAGTTGAACTTGCCATGAATAGTTTTATTAGTAATAAATGATCGTGTATAACCAGGGCTTAATTTCTAATTTGAGAAGTACCGGAGCCATGACTTACCGGGGGGTCTGGGGGGTATGGAATACCCCCCAGGGAAAGAGGGGGTTCCGGGGGTTCCCCCCCGGAAGATTTTTGTAAAAATTGCACTTGAATTGGTGCATTTTAAACACATTTGAGCATGGTTAAGAATGCACATATACAGCATTATATTATATACAAAATAGTAATATAACAGGTGTAAAAATTAAAGAAGTTTGCCAGCAACTAAGCAGAAGCACTTAGTATAGTATGCAGTGTATCCACACGACCAAAACAATAATCCCGCTAACTGGGTTGTAAAATGCCATTCCATGCAGTTTTTTATTATGAAAACTGTCGTTGTATTTCTCATGCAGTTTTTGTTATTTTGTTTATTTCTTCTGAGAGTTAAATTTGACATAGGCCTATATTACACATCCACTCCACTGTTCCAATCCAATCCAATCCAATCACGCAGCACGCAGTCAGTGGACTGAGATCATCGATCTGAACGAACACAGACTCAGTCAGTGGCAGTCGGCACCTGGTCGGCAGACGGCACTGTCGGCAGACTGGCTTACAAGTAGGAACACCGTTCCCCGTTGTATAATAAACTTTGAATACTTTGCCCTGAAGTAAAGATTCGGTATTTGACACGATTTTTACAAAGAATTGAAAACCATAAGTCAACAATTGAAAAATAAAAATACTATTTACAGCTAATTAAGATCGATTCAAAAATAAATTATCAATCCAGATAACAGGAGCTTCGCTCCAGTGTCCTGAGAAGTACCGGAGCTGCGCTCCGGTGTGCTCCGGCTGAAATTAAGCCCTGTGTATAACATTTTAGAATACTCCAAAAGAGTTAAAACTCTTTATAATGTTATTGTTATTAAATATTTTTCAAATTACCTTGAAATGTTATTATGTACAAAGTTGAAAAAAAAACGTTTACAAGTTACAACCACTGTGCTGAAAAACTATAAAGAAGAACATGGCTTAATAAGAGAAAGTAAAGGCAGAATAATAAAGTAACTAAACTTTTCTGTGTTACCGTTTGGTTGGAAACAATAATATATTTGGATAAACCTACTAAAAAAATGTATCTCCTGTTTTTTGGTCTAACTTAATATAGTTTTGAAAGATTTATTGTGCTAGATTCAAATGTTTTGTATCACAAGATTATGAAATTAGTTTTTTTTATACCATTGATACCAACAAAAGATCTAGAACAAAAATATTACTAAACCCTGCCATCCTACAGATTGAATTTTAATTATTTTCTTAAGTTGTTTATACATAGGCCACTACTAGGTAAAATTTTCCTGTCTTTCTAAATAATAATTATTGCTTTACAAGTTATTTTTCTTCACTTTCAATAAAATAAATTCATCTATCATTGAAATAAAAAAAAATCATAGCCTAAGTAGTCAGGACCAGTGCAACCATGCGACCAGGGTATTTATGCCGATTTATGCTTTATGCTCAGACCTGGGTATTTATGGCGATTATACAGAGAAGTAAAATACTAGTAGTGACCATATGAAATTTTGTTTAACACATTTTATTATCATTTTACTATTCTCACAGGGTAATAATTGCAATAAAACATCTCAATCTTCATTAACTTTAATAAAAATTATAATTACCCAGTTTTTGGGTATTTACCCGGGCCTGGGGTAAATACCTGGGTAAAAACCCAATTTATATTTACCTACCCACTGGGTATTTACCCGGCCCACATCACTAGTTCTTAGAATTGAAAAGTTTCACATACATTATTTGTTTACTTACATAACTACCTAATTAGTTTTACTTAACAGCACGGGTAACGGACCAATGAGGTTCAAGGATTAAAAGAGGGAAGAAAAATTTTAATGTTTCGAACTTCAGCTAATCAGCTGTTTGCCGGAACCAATTTAATTGTTAACGATTGGTGCAATTAGAGATTGGTACAAAGAGTTGTATGGCAATGAGAGGTAATAAACGAAAACATAACCTCCCTTAGAAGTTTTGAGTAGTGATAATTGGTAATTAAGAACGAGTCTTAGGTAAAGTAGTGTACACAACTCACATAAATAGTGTTGACAACACTCGTACCTTAAATTTTCTACTCGTGTCGTTAACACTATCTTTATGCAATCGTTGTGTTAACTACTATAATTCTATGAAAAATCTCTTAAATTTGTTTCATTTGTTGCAGCTTCAGTAGATTTTACTATTTTTTATATAAGTTTTTATAGTAATTTTATTTGTCACCAAGCGGCTTGCTGAGCGAGTCAGAAGTATGAGTGGGGTTCTGAAAATCCCTCAATTTGTTGGGTATTAGCTGTGAGTGAACAGGTCTTGACAAAATAAACCAATTCATCTATTACTATTGCTCTGGTAGGTTCCCTCTGGAGTTACATCTCGTCCATTACAACAGCAAGTACTCAAGTTTCAGCGAGGCAATACACCATCATCCACAAGACGCCCTGGCTGTTGTTGGGGTTTTGTTTGAGGTTTGTTTCTTCTTGTAATAGGCTACTGATACAAAGTGTTAACATCAGCTTGGTTATCATGCTAGCAAGTAGGCTGGGTAGCTGAGTGGTTAAGAGCTCGCCTAACAATCAAAAGGTCGCCGGTTCGATCCTGAAAAAAGTCAGTACCTAGCACAGTAGTTTGAACTGAACCCAGCTGTCTTTGATCATTGGGCTTCAAATAAATGATCCTGACTGATAAAACAGCCAATCTTAGTCAGTAATAAAACTACACAGATTATCACACAACATTCTACACTCGTATTATGGGTTAGAATACGCACCTAGGTGGCGTCCCCATCTCATAATATTAATACACATTAATTTTGAAAAAGAAATGTCTGGTTAATTGTATGCGTTGACAGAAAATCCAGTTTAACTCCATGTAACTCAATTTTACACCAATGGCAGGAACAAAAAATTCACTGGCTTGCCCAGATATTTTTAACACCCAATTATTTGTGTAGTTAATTTTTTTTTTCATTGTGATAATCATTATAACAATAGTAGTTGACAGCGGTATATTTAATCAGTAGGGCTTAAAGTAACTCTTTTTTAACACAGGATTCAGTGTTTTTGTTTATCATAAAATATATGACATTTATGAAAACATCATTATTTTTTTTTATTATATGTAGTAAGTATAAATCTCATTAAATTTGTGTTTTTAATAGGGGTGAGAGTTCTATAGCATTGTTTAAAAAAATTATGTAATTTAGGTTTCAAGTTCAGGTATTAGTCACTTATTCATGTTATTTATTTTTACCAGTGCCCAATTCGAGCAATTGCAAAGTATTACAGTCGTTATTTCAAAACAAATATCAGTCATAATTTCCGATGACTTAAAAGAGTAAAGATAATCTAATCAATCACTCCACTACAGTTATCGAATCTGAAAACGCTCACTCCACTCCAGTTATCAAAACTGAAAACAAACTCACTCTGAAAAAGAAACACTCTTTGTGTATGATGTGTTTACTATGAACAGCTGTTTTAGTATGCAATTTAGACAAATTATTTGTCTTTTTAAGTAAACAAAATCTCTTCTTCATAAGAAATACGTTAAGATTTTGATGGCCTGCGGGACAAAGCCCGAGGTCTTTTATTACAGGAACTGGTGAAAGAGGGCGTCTATGCAAAAAATACTTAATTTTGACACATCGTTCGTAAGTATCCGTCCATTATTAACGGAGGAGTAATCTTTCGTAGAAATCGCCTTCACGTATTATATACATGTATATAAGGATTTATTTATTTATGTATTATAATCAAATTACGTCAATGTTTTACAGGTGATTTGTTTAAAAACTAAAATCTTTTCTAACAATCAAACAACCAACATAAGTTACCGAATACTTAAAAATAATCATACATTTGTTAGGAAACCTTCCAATGAATAAATACCCCCGTCGCAGCAAACCTGCATACTAAGCGAATTTCCATTTACCCGGCATGATTTCTACTAAAATATTCCCTATAAATTTTCAGATTTATTTCCTATTTAAATAACATTAATTTTAGTTAGTAGTTAGGTTTGCTGCTACGGGGAAGATGTTGAGGTGTGTTTGTTCAATTGAAATATTGATAGCTTACTATGAAATAAACCAAATTGCCAAATTTGATTAAAATATATCCATAAACAAGCAAACTAGAACAGTTTATTTATTCTCCATAAGAATAACATGGGAATTTTAAATTTACAACTTTTTAAATTTTTTCCGTAGTCAATGAACATTAAAAAACACTTCAATATACTAAATTATTTGTTTTTTTAAGCTCTTCAAAATGGTCTAGAGAGAAATTTAGAAATTTAAAGTTTTTAGGGTCAAAAATTAGAAAAACCCATTTTTACCCCATAAAACCCCCCATAAACCCCTGATGCCATGGTCCGATTATGCTGGTTCGCGAACTCGTTTGAATAAATGTAGGTTTACACGTTTGTACCAAATTTCATCAAAATCGGATCAATTTTGCTCGAGTTATCGCGCTAACGGACACATATATAAATATATATATATACTAGCTGACCCGGCGAACTTCGTATCGCCTAAGTTATAGGTTTCCCCTAAGACAGACCGATGGAAAGAAAGTACCGTTACGTTTAATTTTCAAGATGATCTCGTTCGCATCGCTCAATCACGTCCTGGTTGAAGTTCGTTCGCTACGCTCACTCACCTTTGGGTTGGAGCTCGTTCGCTACGCTCACTCACCTTTAGGTTGGAGCTCGTTCGCTGCGCTCACTTGCCTTCAGGTTAGCTTGTTCGCTACGCTAACTCACCTCCAGGTTGAAGTTCGTTCGCTGCGCTCACTCACCTTTTGGTTGCAAATTAGCTGTTGTCATAAAAATGTAAAAGAAATAATAGTGCTGCACCCTGTTGGTAATCCTTGTAACTTTAATGCTATTGAACATCATAGAACATAACCAACTTGTTTAATTGAAACAGCTGTTAAGATTCATTAATTCCATTTCTCATAAGGTTAACATGGGAAACTCCAGAGCCACTGGGGCGGAGCCCTTTTAAGAATTTCGAAACGGGAAATAGTTTACGTCCGATTCGCATACCTACAGAATTTACACACCAAATTTCATAACGATCGGTGAAGTCGTTCCGGAGGAGTTTGCAGACAAACACTGTGACACGAGAATTTTATATATTAGATATATATATATATGAATTTGAACGGATGGTGTTTTTGGCCTCTGGGGACCTCAAAACGAAAAAGTAAATCGGTCCCGGGTCTAGATCTTACCATGAGACCTACGGTAATAGCTTATTCCCTATATGGGAAATTCGCTAAAAGCCTTCTCCAGAAGTCATATCTTAAGTTCACGTTTTAAATTATCATAAGTGTGTTTTTTTTTGTTTTTTTTTCAATATGCAATCAATTTCTTGAGTGCAGGGCTGAGTGCTAGTTGCCTAAAAAGTTGACGAGGGTCAGTTTATAGCCTGAGGCTTGGCGGTGTGAGTGCAAACTAGGTGGTATCAGTGACCAGTTGGTTCCACGGTGCGGTGGGTATAGGGGTGGAAAGATCAACCAGAGGAGGGGGGGAAGGATGAGCTAAACTTATTTGAGCGTTGACGGTTTTGACAGTTTATGTTTGACCCAAGGAAAAAGACTGTTCTACTCGCTCCGCTTCCCCAATTTCTTTCATTTTTGAAGGCACTTATTATAAATATTGTCTCCCAAATATTATGGGGATGAATGAAATAAGTTTGGGTTTCGTTCAAGCTTCAAAAGTTCTGTTTTTTACCACCACTAGTTTCCATCTTGGTTTGCTATTGTAATATATCTTGTTTTTGTATGCAGAAAATAGAGAATGAATAACTGAGAATTTTAAATATAAAATTTTCCTCAAAGGACATAAACAATGCTTAAAAAGAGTCTTGTTGCATTTTTAAATTTTGATTACTTTTTAGGAGTCAGAGAACGGAACAGAGGCCTTGGATCCATTTCTGGAAGTAGTGAAAGGAATAGCTGGCCGAACTGGGTTGAAAGACCGTCTCCCTTCCCACTTCAACCCTTTAGACTTCCTGCCAGAGGTCAGGAGCAGCTTCTACAGGTATTCTGGGTCACTAACAACCCCACCTTGCGATGAGATTGTCACCTGGACCATCATGGAGACCAAAGTGCCCGTGTCTAAAGAACAGGTATTAATTAACCTTGAAAATGTTATTAGATGAATACTAACTTACATATTCCCCACATAGTCTTCATTTCAGAAATAGGTTGAAAAATTATGTATGAGTAGTAGAAAGAGAATTAATGGGGAAACATGCAAATTATTTGAAAGCAATCACTACTTCACCTGAGTAGTCTCAGGAAATATTTTCTGCAATAAATGGAAAATATAAAAAAATATATAAAAATAAACACAACCCCTTTTAAACCTCCTTTATGTACAAGGACTTTACAGGAAGTTAGGAATGTTCTGACTGACACATCTAGATGCACGTCTAAATAAATACAGACGTCTTCACTTCACCAGTGACTATCCTGCCATCACAGGCAGGGAATCTCTTCATCGGATTGGGCGAATCTTTTAGCTATGTGGTTGTTAATGTAACCTATAAACATGCATGTCACCAATGGCCGTTTTGATACTTTTTTGCAAATAAGAAGTTTTTAGCTACTTCCTCTCTATATCCCTTAGATTCTTTGTTTGAAGTTCATTGTTGATGATGGTGAGTTAATGTTGTTCAAAGGTTTATTGCGGACATTTTCCATCAAGATGGTAAAAAACAATACACAACGTTTCAGGATCTGGAATCTGATCCTGTCCTCAGGTGAAAAAAACTTAACTTTAAGTTAAGTTTTACTTAACTTTGGACATTAGCGTTTTGAACATAGTTTACCAGTTTTGTGATGACAATACCATACTCTCTAAACTTGTGTCTCTAGGTATGTTTGCTTTAGTTATAATGATACTTGAATGACTTGGCAGATGTATTGTGATGATGAAACTGTCTGAAATCCTACAACAAAATAGTAATAAACTATCTCAACAGTAATATACAAAATTGTGCAATATTCTGCAGATGGAGATTTTCAAGCTAGTCCACATTCCTGGACATGAAAATGACCCAATGGACTTCAACTATCGCAGACTTCAAGACCTCAACAAGCGAGATGTCTACCTTCTGTCAGACAATGGAGCTGCTTCTATATCCTGTGCACTGAGCCTGATAGTGTTCTGTCTGCTCAATACTTGGCTCAGATGAAGACGTAAACATGTTGTTATAAAAACAATCAAGTAGCAAATGTCCCATATTCTGTAGACATTCAAAGGTTAATTACCTACTATGGGTATTTCACATTTGATGCTCACCAAAGTGTGAACTATCAACAATCAGTGTTTGTTTGATTTCAGAATAGTTTATTACCTGAATAGAAATAGTTTCCCACCGCAACTTTTGATTAAACTTTTATTATGTTCGCTTGTCTTTATTTGATGGATTAGATGTTTATTGATGTTTAACAATCAATAAACAGTTATGAATACTCGTCACTGACCTGAGCTTACCTATAGCTTTTGTTTTATTTCCTAGTTAATTATAAAGAAATAGTTAGCTATAAAAATTGGAGGTGGAAGGATATGTTCAAATCCAAACCATTGTGCCTTTAAAATAAACCTCCCTTTCTCTTCTGCTGATTCAATACTAAAAATGTAGGGTTCTGTAACATCCATGAATTATCTAGACAAACACAGCTGTAGGTATTTTAACTAACTAAAAGACAATGTTTCAATTTAATATTTCAACATTATATTGCTCTTCAATTTTTTTTTTTTTTTTTTTTTTTTTTTTTTTTAAACTAACCAAAGAAAGGTAGTGTAAAATCTTTAATGGATAAAATTTTGTAATACAAGATTAGTTAACTATCATTCCAGATGAAATGTGCTCTACTTAATTCAAGCACAGACGGTCAGTTACCGATTTTTTAGTTTTAGTCCAGGCAACGAATGCTAAAAAAAGGGTATAGAGGGAAATGTTTGGAACACAATTTCTGACTTCGTAACTTTGTTTAGTATAGTTAGGAGGTTAACATACCAAAAGTCCCCGCCTCTAGTCCTTGTGCTGTGGGGGAGGGGGGGGCTTGAAGGTACCATTTTTCGGTTTTTTGCTAATATCTCGGAAACCATGCGTCCAAGCAAAATTATGCTAATATACAAAATGAAAGCTTATTAAATTTCCAGCAAGTTTGTAATTTACTATTTTTTGATATCTTGTATGGTTTTCGTGTTATTTGCCATCCAAAGTTTGTAAATTTGGAAAAATACATTTTTTCGTCATGTTTTTTGTCCTTTTTGACAAGTTGCCTCTCAAACTATGCACCTAAAAAATAAATGCTGGGCATAGGGTTGTAGAGAATTAAATTCCCTTCAATAGTATATATGACTTTACTAGTTTACCTCCTTCCGTTCAGATTTTAAAGCAAATTAACCGTCAGTAAAAAAAAATTAAATTAAAATTTAAGAAAATTAAAATCTAGCGTTGAGCAAGGAATTTGAAGTCTTGCAACAGCTGATGACTACTTAATATTTCAGTTTATCACCTTACAAAGTCAACTAATTGGTTGGTATATTCACTACCATGTAGCTAAGGTAAGTGATGGGCGTCTAAAAATAGCACAGATACACTATAGAAAATATATACTTGTGGGCTGCCTAACCAGCTTCCTCACACTTTATGATCTAGACTATTGTAATGGGAAAATATGGTTTTTTAACCATGTTTATGCATATAAGAGTGTCTATATGACACTGGAAACCAATCACAACCATAAAATTGAAACCAAGACAATTGACATGTTTAAGTAGGAATTAACATAAAACATTACATTAGTGAGTAGCCTTAGCCTACTATTGAATCAATTCAGCCTTGCTATCTTAGTTTGGAAAGGACTACCATCCTCATAATCGTTTTTATCCTCTTATTCTCTAAGAAAGAAGGTAAGGGACATCTTTTTCTGGCACCATAAACTATCTTAACAAGGATTAGATGATATTTTGACCGCGATTCTACTGGATGTAACAAAAAATCTTCAGCATTTGAGAAAAGCAAGGTTGCTTATGCGAAGTTGTATCTGAATTCCCCAGTGGCCCAAAATGCATCATCTGTCTTTCACGCCCCCTCTCTAACACCACCCAAATACAAAAGGTAGGGAAAATGTACATCTTGATTTGATATGGGCTTCAGCGAGAGAGGTATCGTGCACTTCAACTTCAATCTATACAGGTAGAAGTCAATTTTTAAATCGATGGTCTCCATGAAGCCTAATATCTCTTGTCTTCCTCCGATCGATGGTGCTTTCAAACATCGTTTCCTATCATGTACATTCCAAAAGGTTCAGCTGTGGCTGGGAAATAACCTGCCTTCTCTTATGTAAGAGTGGAAAAGAATAATAAAAACTCTGTAGTAACAGAGTACACTCAGTTTGAAACTACACTGAAGAATATCCTCAAAACTGTTTTCTGCCTATGCACATAAAACTGTACTCGTGCAAAATCCGGTAGCAAAAAAGCAAGCCTAAAATAAGTATGCCAAAAATGTCAAAATGTTGTCCCTGGGAAAGATGACTAAGAATATGAAGAAAAACAGTATACCTATTTCCAAAATAGGTCCGATGGAGAAAAAAAGGATAAAAATGATGAGGATGGTAGTCCTTATTAAACTAAGATAGCAAGGGATAGAATAGTAGGCTACTTACTGATGTAATTTTTATATTAATTCATTCAAATGTGTAATTTATCTTTGTTTAAATTTAATGGTTGTGATTGGTTTCCAGTGTCATATAGACAATTTTATATGCATTAACATGGTTATAACACCATATTTTCCCATTACAATAGACTAGCTAGATCATCAAGTGTGAGGAAGCTGGTTAGGCAGCCCACAAGTATATATTTTCTATAGTGTATCTGTGCTATTTTTAGACGCCCATCACTTAACTTAGCTACATGATAGTGAATGTTCCAACCAATTAGTAATGTAAGGTGATAAATTAAAATATATTAAGTAGTCAACAGCTGTTGACTATTTAATTTAAAATTAAATTAAATTCAAAATTTAATTTAAAAAAATTTATTTTTTTATACTGACAGTTAATTTTATGGTTGTGATTGGTTTCCAGTGTCATATAGACACTCTTATATGCATAAACATGGTTAAAAAACCATATTTTCCCATTACAATAGTCTAGATCATAAAGTGTGAGGAAGCTGGTTAGGCAGCCCACAAGTATATATTTTCTATAGTGTATCTGTGCTATTTTTAGACGCCCATCACTTACCTTAGCTACATGGTAGTGAATATACCAACCAATTAGTTGACTTTGTAAGGTGATAAACTGAAATATTAAGTAGTCATCAGCTGTTGCAAGACTTCAAATTCCTTGCTCAACGCTAGATTTTAATTTTCTTAAATTTTAATTTAATTTTTTTTTACTGACGGTTAATTTGCTTTAAAATCTGAACGGAAGGAGGTAAACTAGTAAAGTCATATATACTATTGAAGGGAATTTAATTCTCTACAACCCTATGCCCAGCATTTATTTTTTAGGTGCATAGTTTGAGAGGCAACTTGTCAAAAAGGACAAAAAACATGACGAAAAAATGTATTTTTCCAAATTTACAAACTTTGGATGGCAAATAACACGAAAACCATACAAGATATCAAAAAATAGTAAATTACAAACTTGCTGGAAATTTAATAAGCTTTCATTTTGTATATTAGCATAATTTTGCTTGGACGCATGGTTTCCGAGATATTAGCAAAAAACCGAAAAATGGTACCTTCAAGCCCCCCCCTCCCCCACAGCACAAGGACTAGAGGCGGGGACTTTTGGTATGTTAACCTCCTAACTATACTAAACAAAGTTACGAAGTCAGAAATTGTGTTCCAAAAATTTCCCTCTATATCCTTTCGTTGCCTGGACTATTTAGACTTTCAGGCTTTTAGGCTTTGGACTTTCATTGTGATCTACATTTTATAATTTTAGTTTAAGACGATTTATTTAACTTGATTTATTCGTGTAAATAGTTATTGATACAAAGGCCAAATGTACAAAATATTTTTATAAATTAACTACAGTAATAGTCACTTGAATGAGTCATTATGAATGTAAGTGATTATTGTTTTAATGGTTTATTTGTTATGATTCTATAATATTAAAATGGCTACACATCACAGTGTAGCCAGCCTATCAATATGTTCAGAGATGTAATGAAATTTCGGACTATGTTATACATGTATTGTATAGTTTGAAGATTAAAGGTAAAAATCACTTTACATTAGTTTCACCATAGTACTAAGTTCTTTCTCAACCGTACTGAAATATAAATTGTCTAGTCAATAGAACAAGAAGCACGATAGCTGTTTTAGTCTAATATTCCTGTATTTATAAAATTGAATAGTTTTTAATAATTAATAAATATTTCAAAGACTTGCTTACAATTCAGTTTTTACCCTGTACGAACTCAAAATATATTTAGGCTAATGAATTTTGGTTTCTTTTTAGAGCGGTTTCTATCTTAAAGGGTAATAATACAAAATTAAAAGGCTCAATTAAAAAAACAATTTATTGAACATAACATAGAAAAATTAAGCTGAAAATTTACCTTACCGGTAGTTAGAAGACTTAAAACTGAAATCCTCGAATAACTATAACTTAACAAGGGTTAACATACAAATATTACAAAATTACTTGCAGCAATTTGTCTTTGTTTATGTGCATCAATCTTGAGACAGTGTGCTTCATTTTGTAAGATTAAGAAAAGTTAACAAAATTAAACCAAATTATTTTTCACCACCATTATTATTTTTTAATTTTTTATTATTATTGTGGTGAATAGTGGTAACAGGGTATTAGAGTGTGGTGAAAAATAGCTTTCGTACCACGGACCGAAATGGTTTTGCAGCTCTCAATCCAGTAAAACATAATTTTCGGCCTTCGGTACTACTATTGTTGTAATCTGTATTGTAATAAACTACACACATGTAATTTGTTTTCTTGCTGTTACACTTATCAGGAAATACAAAATGATTAAAGGAATATGAAAAGTATATTAACTAAATAATCTCAAGGTAAGTGACATATACTATTAAGTAGGTTCACGAAACTACTATGAAGGACAATCAAAGTTAATTATATTTTGAACCAGGATCAAGTACAATTGAAAAAATGACATTTTTGAACATTATTAACTTTTTAAAGTCTTGGAACGGATAAAAATTCAAAATATAATAAAGATTTGACATTCACTGGACATACAATTAACTATATATATATATATATTTATTTATTTATTTATATATTCAGTGATACGATACCTCTTTAGAGATAAACAAATCTGCCCACCAGGAGTCAGGAAAAAATCTTTTCATGGTAAGCATAGGTTGATATGCACATAAAATTTGTTTGTAAAATAAAAAGCTGCAAACTTACTCAAAAACAAACAGACAACTGGGTCAAAAATACCAAATGTTGTAGATTTTTTAAATCTGAGTTTTGAATCTTTTAAACAGCTCCCAGAGGTTGGACGTATTTCACTAAGACCATTAATTCAACATGCATACTAAGCCATGCTTACAATTTATGATTTTCTTTTAATTTTTAGCAGGCACCCAAAAATTGCAAATTGAATATATCTTTCAACTGCCATTTTTTAATTGGTTGTCTATTTGAGTTCTGGATTGCAGCATTGCATTTTAATGACAAAGGCCTTTTAATTTGATGTGCATATCAACCTATGTTTACTTTAAAAGATTTTCTTCTGATTTTTAGTGGACCTGAAGAGGAAGCATATCACTGAATATGCTAATTATTTAAATTATTTTTTATCCAATTATTCTGTTAGGTGAAAGGAGTAGGCCTACCTTAATCATTTTTTGTATTTAATATCACTAATCGTCAATTGAGTAGTTAAGACGGCAACAGATGTCACGTACCATGAGACTTACAATAAAGACCAAAACTAAAATAAATGCCATTACACTAAACAAATAGCACTTTGAACACAGAAAATAATCATTACACACTTATCAAACTTATCCAAGAGATTAAATTAGAAAACTCATAAAATGTAAAACAAAAGCGAAAACCGAAATTTGCCAATCTACTAGCAACATAAAGATTATTTATACAGTCGATTTTGTAAAGAAATATTGAAAACTAAATATTGTCTCCATGAAAATTATAATTTGGTACAATTTACTGTTTCTATAATAAAATAAGTTAATTATAAATAAAGTTCTATTTTATGTTATACCCTTAAATTCGGCTTAAAGAATTAATTGTGAAGAGCGTGTGTGAAGATTAAAAGAAAGGTTCTTTTTCAAATGTTAAAAAACTTTGGTAAAATAGGTGGGAAGAAATAGTAAATAATTTAAAGGATACTTTCTCTTTTTAAAAAACCAAAACATTCCTCTGGTTCATACTTACAGCAAATGTAAGAAAATCACTTAAATGTCTATAGTTAAATAAGAAACAATCTGTCAACTCATGGACTGAGTTCCTCCAAAAAACAACAAAGACATTATCTTATTATTAAACCTACTCTAGGTAACTTAAAATTTGAATTATCTTACAAAAAGTAACAAAAAAGTCATATTTACATTACTGTACATCTTAACTTATAACAAAATTATCACATTTTTAAAATAAGAATTCACAATTTACAAAGAGATATTTACACATGAGAGTCTGACGTATCTTCTGAAACAGAACAAAAACATATCTAAATTGAGTAATATTGTAGAGAATGCCAAGTAGTATACTAACATCCTGACTGGTGTTGGACTTTCACTAGTTTCCTATTGTGTCTGAATTTAATAACTAAATTCAGTTTTAGAGATAATTTCACATTTTTAAAATGCTCTCCCCTTTACCTGGACTCAGATAAGAAATACAGAAATATCAACCGTTGATCAGGATGAATCGGGCATCAAAATAAGAGAAGACAAAATAAAAAAAAAACATTAACTTAATTTTTGTTATGTTAATAGGAGCCATATCATAACAATTATTAAATTATAGGTAAAATGTCCTTAAAAAGATTAACTCTAAAAAACACTAAGATAACGCTTCTTGAAATAGCTACTTCCCTATAGGGAAATTCGCTAAAAGTATATTATCAAACATTCGCACAATATTCAAACATAAATAACATAACATATAAATTTAACATAACTGTGAACAATCCTACTTTGACAGTTCTAATTGTGTATCACAGCTAATCCAAGATTATGTAGCTGCTTAGTTTCAATAAGCTGTTTTCATAAATGAAAAAAAATTGATAGTGCTACACCCTGTAGCTTTTTAATGCTATTAAATACAGGGTGGCGCAGAGAAAAGGAAATTTTGAAGTCGTTGTTGGTACACCTGTAAGTCTCATAGGAATGGGAAACGGTCCCTCGGCGTCATGAAACGGTTAAATCATGACGCCAAGTAGTAACGGACATTTATGTTGTTATTAATATTATTATGTTATTGCCCATGACTAGGGGTGTGCGAAGCAGCAAAAAATTTTCGATTCGAAGCAACGATTCGATTCAAAAGATTTTCGATTCGATTCGATGCAACTCGATTCGAAGCAATACGGTATTTTTCTATTCATAATTGTCAATTGAGTGGATTAACAATAATTAAAATTTACCACATTTGTGTAATGCAAATTTTTGTTGATGTGGTATTAGGCCTATTCATACTTAACATATGAATATTAGGTGAAAAAATATTTATTTTCAATCATAGGGATTAGAATAACCTGTGAGCTGGTTTACTTGCCTATTTCATAATTTTTACTTGGAATTGGCTCAATTGCAAGAAAGAAGAAAATATTTTTTTTATCAAGACATTAATTCTCATTTTAATAACTGTTTAAATAACTAAATAGGTACCGTCAGCTAAATTACAACAAATTTGAATGGAACTTAATATAAAAAGACCATTAAGAAATAAATATAGCCTACATATCACAAGTTTAGGGCCTGTGGGCCTGCTTCAGGACTGCAAGCAAGAAGAAAATAAAAATAATATGTTTCCACCATGCAATATGTATCATTCATTCCCTGCCTCCTAACCTCCTTAGTATAATAATCTCACACTTACATTATTTGTTACATCATCATAAATAAAGAATTATCTATTATTGGCATCAGTTAGTAGGCCTCCTACAGCTTTACATAGGCATTATTTTTTATAGGACCTAAAAAAGTCCTAAAAGTGTACTAAGCAACATGACAAGTGGAGAACTCATTGAAGAAAAGATATTGTGTAAACTAATTTAGGCCCTACTATAAAACTAAAAAACAGTAAATAACACACAAACATTGTTTATGGTATAATTATTAAGGACTTTAAAAAATGCATATCATGTCATACAGTAGTATAATTAATCCTAAAACAATTTCAAATTAAAATTAAAAACAGTATTAATCAATCAGTAAATGTTAATGTATATATTTTTTCATTGTTCTATTTATTTTTCTACTCAGTATTTATATATTTATATAATTTATAATTGTTAATATTTTTTAAATATATATACATTGTTGTTATAGTTATTGATAATTTTGTTTTTATGTTAGTATTAAATGCATGGCATGAAAGTGTAAATAAAAGTGAAGTGAAAAGACAAGAAGAAACCCACTGAAGCAATAATATTATAAGTGCATGAACTGCTTCAATGTAAATGGTCTTTAAACTGTATTGAAGCATGTAAATAAAATAAAATAAAAAAATATAGACCTACTGCAAGAGATTAAAATCCTAAAACAACTGATTTTGATAGCTAATGAATGAAAAGAATTAAAAATCCATAAAATAAAGCCAAACAAAATCACAATTAATTAGGTACCCGAAAAGTAACTCTTAAATAATATATAGTAGATTAAAATAATATTAAATCAAGAGATAAGAAAGTTAAATGTTAACTTCTAATGCCCTTGGCAACACAGGTCAATGTTTTTAAACTACCCTCAATGTTTTTGGAACAGCAGGGTCTTTTTCTCTGAAGGAAGGGTAGTACAGTATGTCAACAAAAACAATGAATCACTCTCCCCAGCCATGCCCAGGCAACGATGTGTGCATTCAAGGTCATAGACCCTACCCCTCCCCTCTTACACCACCCGGTTGCTACCCAGTTGCTTCAATTAATTGCTGACAAAATGCAAGTGATGAAACAAGGAAGTAGAGACAAAAAAATATATTTCTTTATTCAAAAACAAAACTGTTACAGATTATTTTCAAAGAAATTAATTCATTGTAATTTGTGAGTTGTAAATATTGTATTGGATCTTGGAAATATATTTTTTTAACCCCATCTAACCAAGATACAGATCTGTTCACTATATCAGATATTTATTTTGTTTATAATTTATTATGTAAAATACTAAAATATATTTTAAATTAGGTATGGAATAAATAATAAATGATTAAACTAGTATG